TGCAAATAACATCATTCCCGTACTTTTCCATCATGTCTCATTCATATTCCGTTTTTAAGGCGAGAAAAAAACTTTCTTTAGATATGTCATCTATGTCTTCCACAAACTCTCCTTGAGGCTTATAGGCCAAAATTGGATCATAATCTTCACTTGACCTCAACTCTGATACCCATAGCGAAGTACTAGTATGATCATTGGAATGTTTGTGTACATTTTTGAGGTTCAAAGAGCGTCTCATATTGTTAACATCCTGACGTACTAACAGGTGTTGGCGTGTCACACTTTTCATCAGTGACATATCCCTTATATTGTTCATAATGTGGGTTACTGAGACTCCTTGCTTTAACTGTGTGGCAACTTGTACCTTAATCTCGACAGGTATTGGAAGATGGCATAAATCCATTGAGTGTCCTGTGTGAGTAGTCACATACGTTGCAGTAACTGCTCCAGTCTTGATGCACTCATCAGCAACTATGTGAGACAAGCATGTCCCATCAATTTTTGCAGATTGTTGCCATTTCAAATTCCTTATCCCTTTCCCTTTTCCTTTATAAAAACCAGATCTGTTACAGTAGTAACTTAAGAATATTGTACTGCATCAGGGGCGGATCTAGGATTTAATTTTTGGGAGGGCAATTGTGAGATGGGAGGGGTAATTAGGGGGTGTGGTCAACTAGGCTTGTGCAAAACTTTTTGGAAAGTAAAAATTATGAAGACTAAGCCTGCTAAAATGAGCCCCTTTGTGGTTTAAAGATAGTTTACATAGTCCAGTACTGCAGCTGCTTCACAGTTTACATAGGTAAACCAAAGTTTATTACTCCAGAAAATTTTTGGGGGGGGGGGCATTGCCCCCCCCAGGCCCCCCCCATAGATCCGCCACTGGGTTGAGAGAACAAGAAGAAACATCAAGTCACATCAAGTGGAAGGACTCTTAGCTATTATTAGCAAAGCTCTTTGGAATCGTCTCGATCATTTTTTCTGAAGAAATGGCCGCTTATTGGAATACTCCAGTAAGTTAGAATGTGCTGTATTAGATTATTGAGAGAAGAGATCCTTTGGTTGAGGACTGGTCCACTGAGAGTGTAGCAGTGGAAGGAGGAAAGAGTGTGAAATGTGACAGTAGAACTCCATTATTATTGCACATTATAACTGATAATTTTGAATGCATATGCATGGGTATAGTCAGAAATGAAAAAGCTTAGAAAATGAGCTCTGAGATCATGTAAAACTTGTGGTTCCTGCTTCTCCTTTTTGTGGCCGGGCCTGATATTGTTGGTTCCTGTTAATTCCCCCTGGGTCTAGTTGATCAGTTGGTCCAGTACTCATGCAGTGGTCCAGTGGGTACTATGAGCTATGGGTCCTATTTGAGGGAGTATTGATCTATATGTTTGGTATCAGTTATCAATGAATAGAGTGTATAGTGATAGTGTGTGTTAGTGTGACCTGTGAATGAGAGGAGAAGTGCCTGTGAGAGAGGGACAGTGGAAGGAGCCCACTCTCACTCCACTAATATTATACTATATATATACAGGACCATCCTCTATAACTATCAACATTTGCCCTTTTTGCAACTTTTGAGTGCAACCAGTTGAACTAAGTATAGAGTACCAGATACTAGTCCTTTTGCAGTGAAAAATTTGTATTTATATGATTTTGTGCAATTTACTTTTGCAAATATAGCTTGTAGACTGCACCATGTAGCGATGGATATGCACAATTTTGTGGTACCTTTTTTGCAATGGGCTGACAAAAAATGCATGATTTGTGAAATTTTGTTTCCTATACAAAAAAACTAACTGCTATTATACTGATTCACTAATTTTTAAAGAAGCATTGATGAAGCTTATATGTACATTATAGAAGTATTTTCTAGTTGTTTTAATCATCTTAGTAGCTAATTATCCACTAAGTGAGTATGTATGTTTGGTTAATAGTATATTGTTATTGTTATTATTACTATCTCTATGTTATCATATACATGTACATGTTGTTATATCTTTTGTTCTGTTGTGGTTTCATTGTTTACATTCCTGTTGTTTTGTTTTTGTACAATAATATGTTGCTGTTAGTACTTTATATACTGATTGTATAGTGTACAGTGTATGTGTATATCATTATCACTAATATCAGTAGGTGATATTGATTGATTGTTATAGTCCTGTGTATTAGTCAATGAATAATGTAGCTCATTTATTGTATGTACAGATACATAATCATTATATGATGTACAGTTGTATTGTGTATGTGATATATCTATCCTCAACTCAACAAGGGAATTGTTAGTAATTGATTCATTGACAGTATGTATAGTCAGTAGTGGGAGTATACTAATAGAACAATATCAATGAGTAAATGGATTGCAGTCGCTCGTGTCAGCAATCTCTAAGCTCTCCTCTGTCAACTTGTCACTTGTCAGGTACTTGCCACATGTAAAATTGCTTTGCGCATGTGCAGTGCGTGTACCGTATAGCTTCAATTGGAAATAAATTTGTTATTATACCCATGCTCGTGCAATATCCGACTTACAAGTATCTCGCCCTCGGGCCTATATGACCCGAGAGCGAGGTGCTTGTAAATCGGATATTGCACTCGCAGGGGTGTAATAACATATACATAAAAGGACTTGTAATGAGTACAAATTTCCACTTGATTAGATTCATTCCTTATTAGTCTCACATAGCCAGTCCCTCCCTCTACAAAGCAAGGGTCTGGTCTATTACCATACATTACCTCATTCATCTTTCAACCTTACTTCTGGTGGAACTAAGTACACTAAACATTGAATAACCTC